GGGTTTTGAGAATGGGATTGAGGCGATATATTCAGAACAGAAAGCAAAACTGATAGTTAATAATGTGGTTACAGAAGAGTTCAAAATTGAAAAAGGGACACGACAAGGTTGCCCTATTTCCCCTTTGTTATTTATTTCGGTCCTGGAAGTGCTATTGAACATGATTAGGGGACCAGCTGGTGGAAGGAATTCAGGTTGGTCAGAAACAATATAAATTAAAAGCTTTTGCAGATGACCTGGTTTTGACCTTGCAGAAGCCAGAGCCTAGTACGAAAAGAGTATTACAATTGATTAATGATTTTGGTCGGGTGGCGGGATTTAAATTAAACAAACAGAAAACTAAGGTTTTGGGGAAAAATCTGACTGAGACAGAGTCAGAACGGTTTCAGAATGAGACGGAACTTAATGTGGTTAAAAAGTAAAATACCTAGGGGTAAACATAACAGCAAAAAATCTAAGTCTATTTAAGGATAATTATGAAAAATGTTGGACAGAAATTAAGAGAGACTTAGACAGTTGGTCAAAATTGAAACTTTCTTTGTTAGGCCGAATTGCTGCGATTAAGATGAATGTATTGCCAAGAATGTTGTTTTTATTTCAAACACTGCAGGTATTGGACAAAATGGAGTGCTTTCAGAAGTGGCAGAGAGACATTTCGAAGTTTGTCTGGCAGGGGGCTTTGCCCTGCCGGACTTAAAGTTGTACTATGAAGCCGCAGCGTTCTGCTGGCTAAAAGACTGGCTACTTCTTGAAGACACTGATGTGTTAGATTTGGAGGGTTTAACAATGTTTTTGGATGGCATGCATATTTATGGTATGACAAAGTTAAAGCAAATAAGGCCTTTAAGAACCATATTGTTAGAAAATCACTGTTTAATGTCTGGACAAAATATAAAGACTTGCTGGAAAATAAAACACCAAGGTGGCTTTCACCTTTGGAAGCTAAGGCCCGAAAAGACCCAATATGGAGGCCAAATGGCCAAAATATTGGGAAATACTAGAAAAGATGGAGACAATTGGAAATTGCAGAGCTTGGAGAAAATGAAAGACAAAGTGCGAGATTGGTTACACTATGCCCAGATTAAAGAAGTTTTTAAAAGTGATAAGAAACTAGGGTTCCAGGTGGAGAAATCGAAATTAGAAACAGAATTGTTAGAACCAAAGACTAAGATACTTTCAAGGATGTATAACTTGCTGTTGGAATGGAATACACAAGATGAAATGGTTAAATCGGCTATGATAAGGTGGGCACAGGATGTTGGGTATAATATTATGTTTGAGGACTGGGAAAGGCTGTGGAGTAATGGATTGAAATTTACTGCATGTAATGCTTTGAAAGAAAATGTAATGAAAATGATTTATAGATGGTATATGACCCCAGTCAAACTCGCAAAAATTTACCACCTGTCTGATAACAAGTGCTGGAAATGCAAAGAGTGTGAAGGAACGTTCTTTCACCTCTGGTGGACATGCCCTAAAGTGAAGGCGTTCTGGGAAATGATTTATAATGAATTGAAAAGGTATTTAAATATACTTTCACTAAGAAACCAGAGGCCTTCCTTTTGGGTATTGTCAGCCAAGGGGTTGCAAAGACGGACCAGACATGTTTTATGTATGCAACAACAGCAGCAAGGATACTACTCGCAAAACATTGGAAAACCCAAGATCTACCCACACTGGAAGAATGGCAGATGCAACTGATAGACTATATGCAACTGGCTGAAATGACTGGCAGAATCCGTGACCTGGGAGAAGAGAGAATCGAGGAGGACTGGAAGAAATTTAAGAACTACCTACAAAAACATTGTGATTTGATTGAATGCTGAATAAGATGCTGGACTAAATAACTGAGCACCACTTAACTTAGAAATTTTTAAGGAAACAAGAAAAGTTGTGAAAGTTTAACTCTTTATGAGAACTTTAAGATTATGAAATATCGAAGAGATATAAGAATTTAAATAAGATGATAAATTGCTGACAAAATGTTATAATGATGAAGGTGGGAGCGGGAGATGTGAGGAAGTCCAAAGAAAATGTGAAATTATGTTAAG